GAAAGGCCCTCCTGATATTCCTTGTTTGTGTAAAATCCCCTCAGCACGTTTAGTGTACTCCAATTTCCTTATCTTGTTTTCAATCTTTCCTCTTCTCAATCTCTTTTGTTTTTGTTAATAACACAGAATATAATTTTTAAGGCCATAAAGGGAACATTGTTGCACTCACATTATTGTTTATGCCAACAGAGTGCTCAATTTTGTAAATAAACATATGCCTTAAAATTGTACCTCTCAATCTAGGTTTAAATTTAATGCCATTCTTTCTTACCACATGAAATGATGATGGTCTAAAGTTTTGCATTTTTTTTCCCTTTAGTGACTTTGCTTCTTACCAAAGAGGGTGCTCAGCTTTAGAACAGTGACATTTGTTGGGTATTTTGATAAGCAACTGTACTCAATATTGGATCAATTTAGAAACACAGACTCCCCAAATCCAGCACGTAGCTTACACCATGGTCCATACGGTGAGACTGATCCATTGGAAGAATAGCACAATAGATTGGATAGCCAGATGCATCGGGTCAGTTCAAGCCAATTAATACCAAGTAAAGTGCCAGAATCCTTTGAATTCTTAGTAAAGCAAGTGCCACGTTTCCAGTGGCCTTTGATAAGCTGAATTAATGTAGCAATTATACATGGGCTCTAGGGACTTTTCTGTAATGCCTTTGAAACAAAGAGATATGCTCCATCTCCCACTCAGGCCTGCATTTTAATATCTGCTCTTTGACACAAGATCTAATTAATAGCCCTAATTAATACCTTTAATCAACAGCTTCTGGCTGATAGTCAATTGTGGTTTTGTTTTGTTTTGATTTTAAACCTTTTTAGATGTATCTCCCCAAAATAACTGGTTAAAGAGCACCATAGTACCTTCAGTTTCTATAGAATTTTATTCCCTGAGTAACTTAAAAGACAACATGGGCTAGGCACGGTGGCTCACGCACTTTGGTAGGCCAGGCGGGTGGATCACCTGAGGTCAGGAGTCCGAGACCAGCCCAACCAACATGGAGAAACCCTATCTCTACTAAAAATACAAAATTAGCCAGGCGTGGTGGTATATGCCTGTAATCCTAGCTACTCAAGAGGCTGAGGTGGGAATCACTTGAACTTGGGAGGCAATTGCGGTGAGCTGAGATTGGGAATCACTTGAACTTGGGAGACGAGGAGGTTGCGGTGAGCCGAGATCACACCACTGCACTCCAGCCTGGGCAACAAGAGCGAAACTCCATGAAAAAAAAAAAAAAAAGGCTCAGAAAGCAATCCAAATGATGAGGAATTAGCTTTTCAGAGCCATATCCACATTAGATGATATGCTTTCCCCTGGAGACAATAAAGTCCAGAGATGGCTCCATGGTGGGTTTTTATTTCCTTAAAACACTTCTTCTGCCGGGAGCAGATGACTGTGGTGCACTCTCTTATACCTCTTGGTATTTCCCCTTCCAGTATTAAGTGCTAAGAAACAGAGAAAAACTTTTTAAATTGCCTTTCTCCTCTTCTGCTCCCCTGATGCTAACTACCTGCTTGCTACAGGCTTTCCTAAGGGTTTTTGATGAATTCTTCTCCTGACCTTGGCAAGTGTTTCTCTACTGCCATCTTCTAGTCCTGCAACAAAGGCTGTGTGATCTCAGAGCCATTCACAGGCAGGCTCTGCTCCTGTTTGCACTGGTCTTTTAACTGCTCTGTAGATTTTAAAGTCCTCTCAATAAAGGCTTGGGGGAAATATATGAAAATGTAATAACATTATTGAATAGAGTATTAAGAAGAGATCATTTCAAAACAGTGAATGGAAATATAATGGTAGCTCATTATTTCCATATTTGCTAATCAGAATGTTTATGAATAGATACAAATATAGAAGAGCTTCTTATTTTCCCACTTTTCTTCTTGTTTATTCACTTTTCAGAAAACTTGGTTAGTTAATAGAAAAATACACGGTTATATTCCTAATTTTAAAGACACTTTGAAAATATATGTAACATGTTATGCTCATTTAATATTTGTGTTAGCTGTTAGTTTAGCCTTTGAATGACCTGATTTTATTCCCGAGCAATGTGTGGTTATCAGGGTTATGACTGTAATAATAGAGTACACAAGACATATAGACAACTAAAGGAATACAATTTTAGGGAAGGATTTTTCCAGCAACTACAGCTCAGTATAGTGTGGGATCAGCTCAGGATAATGTAGTATAGGGTCAGAGAAAATTTCCAACTGAGTCTTTTTGTGCCCGACCCAGCCTCCACTGTTTATGCGTGCTCCTGGCAATTTGAACTTTTCTAATGCTGAAAACCTTCATGGCCTATGAAATAACAGTGAGTGAGATCATGGGCTAATGACCAATTACCTATTTCAAAGAACAGTGTGTGGCTCATTTCTGAAAATCCCTTTAGAGATGCAAAATCCTTTTTGAGAAATCAGTCTTAAATGTGAGCACCATCAATGCAGGCCTTTTTTTTTTCTGCCAGGAGTATTCATTAACACTAACAAGGCCTGAAGCATGGAGTGATTTTTGTCAAAGGCAGTGCACTGTTAGATTTTTCCATGAATTGATTGTAATCACCTTTATCTTGAACTTCAAGGATATAATTTGGTCATAAGTGTTTTCATCTGAAACCTTCCATTTTCAAGTTGTAAAAAGTCCACGAACTTCTAAGTTCTCAAGTGCCGAGGTGCCTGGGTTCCAGGCTTTGGGAACCTAAACCAAAATCTATTCATGGATGGGATTAAACAAAAGATGTAAAATATCCCATTTCCATAGCCCTTCCTAGGGTGTGAGAGGAAGGAGAGTCAAACACAATTATCCATTAAGAATTATCAGATAGGCAAGCAGAGCCTTAGAGCCATATAAATTCAGAACTCAGAAATCTTGGAGAACTTCAAGGCACTGATTCTCAGAGTTAATGTCATGAGGAAACTGTTTTGCTTCCTGTTGTTTATTTATGCTTATATTTCAATCCAGTCCTACAATTGCAAGTTGCCGAATTGCCTTAGCAACCTGAACGAACTTGGAGGAAGGCCCCGGCTAGCTTCAGATGAAAACACACCCTAGGAAGGGCTATGGAAATGCGAGAGTTTACATCTTTTGTTTAATCCCATCCATGAATAGATTTTGCTCTGGAAAGCCCACAAGGGTGGAGGCCCAGGGCCCAGGTGGAAGAACCATCTCCAGCTGTGAGTCCAGAGTGCAGCCTCTCACAGCAGCAGGCGACTGTCAGGAAACGCCTGGCTCCTACCTTTTGTCCTTCAACTTCTGGGTTAAGGGAGGGACTGACCCAAGGCAGTCTGAAGGAAGGCGAGTGTGGCAGAGAGAGAAAAGTTATTGCATAGTTTTTGTTTTTCTCTAATCTATGTTAGGGGTTGACTTGGGTCCCACAAAAGTGATATGATGGAGCCTGAATGTGACCGTGTTTGGAAATAAGGTTATTGCAGATGTCATTAGTGAAGATGAGGTCACACTGCAGGGTTTAGGTAGGGTGCTAACCTAATATGGTCGGTGTCCTTAGAAGAAAACAGCCACGTGAAGACACAGACACACAGGCACAATGCCACAGAGGCTGGGATCGGAGCGCTGCAGCTGCGATGTCCCGACACTGATGTGGGCTACTGCCACTAGAAGCCAGCAGAGGCAGAGAAGGATACTTGCCTACAGGTTTCGGAGAGCGTAGCCCAGCTGATGCCTTGACTTCAGATTTGTAGCCTCCTGAGAAGTGAGATAATGAGTTTATGTGGTTTGGAGCTTCCCAGTTTGTGCTGCTTTGTGGCAGCAGCCTGAGCAAACCCACACGATGTCATCTCGTGGTCTTGTCCTCAACCACGCCCACCCCATCAAACGGCTTCGCTCCTCTGTGTTCACAGCCATGGGGCATAATGTGTGACCTCACTAAGAATAGGAAAAATAAGAGGAAGATAGTCTTCCCAGCTGGGCTTTTCAAAAGATTTCAGGAACAAGAGATGACTCTAGTCATAGACGAATGAGAGGGAGAGTTGGGCTTCTCACCTCACTGCCTGGCTGAAGAGCTCCTGGGCTTGTAGGGGGAGCGAGATGGAGGCCGAGGTGGATGAGAACAAAGAGGAAAGAGGGCCCACGAGAGAGGTCTGGGCTCTACACACAGGAAGGAGGGACATGGCAGCAAGGGCACTGGGAAAGATGAGCACCGGAATGGGGTGGCCTTCAACCCCCGCCGCCTCAACCCAGCTGCACTGGCCGCCTGCCCTGCCTGGGTCTGGGAGACTCTTGCCTCCCACCTCAGCCGCTGCTTCCTCCGGTGACCACGGCAGAACTGCTGCCTGCCTCTGCTCTGAAATTGTGTGAGGTCCCCTGGGACCCCAGGCAGCCAACCCATCTTGCTCCTTGAGGATGTTACAAGACACCCATAGGTCCACAGGAAATAAGGAAGACCCCGGAAGCTAATGTTAGGGGGTGATAGGAAAGGGAGAGGGTCCACTCCAACAGGGGGAGAGCAGGCTGAAACCGGGAGTACACTGGATCTAGCTCCTGCTGCAGGCTGGACCTGTCAGCCCCTTATTTGCACAAAGTTTAGTGAATGACGTAGATTGAATGTTTGTGTCCACTTAAACTCAGATGTTGAAATCCTCACTCCCAGGGTGATGGTATTAGGAGGTGGAACTTCCAAATGTAGTTAGGTCATAAGGGTGGAACCCTCATGAATGGGATCGGTGCCCTTATGAAAGAGACCCAGGGAGCTCTCTGACCCTTCAGCCATGTGAGGATGCAGGAGATGACAGGGAACCAGGAAGCCTGTGCTAGGAAACAGGGATGGGCCCTCACCATACACGGATTCTGCCTGCACCTTGAGGTTGGATTTCCAACCTCGTAACAGGAAGAAACAAATTTCTATTATTTGCAAGCCTCCAGTCTGGAATAGTTTTGTTACAGTAGCCCAAAAGGACTAAGACAGTGAGTCAGTATCACACAGAAACCCATCAGGACACCCAGGGGCCATCTATAAAAGCAGTCAGGGACCATAGAAGAGGGATGACAACTCTCAAAAACTCTTTTAATTCAGGAAATTTTGTTGTTTTCCCACTTATGTACGTGACTATTTCTGCATAGTCATTAACAATGAAACCCCGGAAACAAATAGTGCTCTCTTGTCAGAGATAGGATGAGGTGGTTTTGTCCCTGCTGGTGACCCACCCCACAGACAGCCTCCCATTTCTTCCTTTGTTCGGTGGCCAGGTAGTCCTCCCCAGCTCCAGCCTTCTGGGTGGCTTCTTGGAGAGGTTTATTCATTCTTCCAAAATGTGCTGGGAGATTATTTCATTGTTGTTGTGAGAAGGGGTGATACATGGAGTGTCCTCCGCCATGTGGCATCATGAGAGGATGAGTCTGAAGATGGAGACCAGAGACAGGAGAAAATAAAGGAGCAGAATCATGGAAAGGCCGAAATTCCTCATAACTTTATCTGGCCACTAAAATAGTCAACCTACTGCCTATTTGGTGTGAGTTAGTAAATGTCTTTAATTCTTAAGCCATTTGAATTGGTGGAATGTGCGGCTGAAAACAAACTAGCCGAAATCAAACACTGTTGGTGTTTGTGGGCTCCTGCATGGCCTGTCCTGGAGGGCAGAGAGCCCCACCTACGGGACTGCATGGGGAGTTTTCAAAGCACAGGAAGTAGGAGAAAGGACGAGTCTGCAAGGAGACAGGGTACCAGGAGCTTAAAATACGATGTCCACATGTTTTCGGCCCTGTTCCCAATGCAACTGAGTCCTCAACGTAGACCACACGAAAGGAACTCACTATTGTAGTAACTCAGTGGCAGTCATACGTAAGTGCCATTTCTAGGCACTGAGTCTCATGTTAGAGCCACTGTTGGGAAAGTGTGGAGAAATATTTGAGAGAATAAAGTATTGGGAAGGTGTAGCATACTTTTAGAGCAGAGCAGATCAGAGCATAATGAGCTCAAGAAATATTGGGATGTTCTCCTGAAAAGCTGAGGAGGTGCTTTGGGCTCAGGCCCACCCTGACACCAATGCTTCCAGAATTAGCACCCTGTGCCCAGCACGTGAGTGCCAATCAGGCAATACTTTCCAGCTCTTTGACAACCTCAGACTTCCGTGGCAGAGCACAGGGGGTGCAGCACATCTGCACTAGTGACAAACCTACTGGAATGGCTGAGACTTTTCTACAAGACTTTAAAAGTTTTACCTTATTTTCATTGTTTCTTTTTAAATCTGAAGCAATTATCCTCCAAGAATTGTACAGTCTGTACTTTAAGAGAAAACCTTGACATGGCAAGTTATTTCTAATTCTTCAGTAAGTAGTTTAACTTCACCTGAATTCACAAGAACTGGGTAGGTCTAAGTAAGAAACACAGAAAAAACAAATGAGAGAACATTCCAAAAGTCAAGACTTTTTCTCAAAAAAAACAGGATCACTCAAAATATCAAAAGAGAGAGCAAAGTAATTGTTGGTGATGAGCAAAAGCCAAAAACATGGGCGTTGTGCCCGGAGAACACAAAAGTTTCTCTTAGATAAAAGACATTTCTCTTCTACTTCATCTTTTTAAAAAAAGAACAAAAAACCCAGAGAAAAAAAGCTGTCAGAAGCTCTCATTATTTATTTAGCAATGTTTAGATACTTTAATTTTTAATTTTCACAAATAGCTTTTTTGGGGGAAGTACAAAAAAAGTTATGTAAAAATTATGGTCTTGCTTATAGATGATTTGTTCTCGCTTGGCACTCCCTTAATAATTTCTGAGAGAAAACCATTTTGTGCCTTAGAAATATCATCCTAAAGGTTGGAAATGATTCGTAAATCTCTGGACTTTCAAACCCTTTTTTCTTAAAAATCCCTTGTTTCCCTTTCAGACCAACCACCCTAAGCTGGATTCTGAAGAACAGAAGGCTAATTTAATTATGCTCATTGGATTCCAGTAAGTTGATTTTCACTGATTTTTACTTCCATTTTTCAAAGGTGAGTTGCACAAGACAGAGGGAATCCCTTGACACTGGATAACCAAGGACATAGTTAGGGCCATTTTGTGACTCTCCATTTTGTGATATAGATCTGACTTTTTCCTCTAAAGCTTGGCTAATCTTTCCCTTGCTCAGAAACATTTGAAACCCCTGGAGATGTCCCCCTTGTGTTTGCAAAGACTTCAGCTAAGGTCAGAGGACACACTGCTAGCTGTGGCACCCACGCATCTATGAGCAGAATCTACCTCATAAACCCTTTTCCATCATGAGTCTCAAGGCCTTGGTTCCTGAAATCCCAAAGTATTTCTGTGGTTTTTTTTTAAATGTAGGAACTGAGAGAAACCAATGCAGTTGGATCCAAAAGTATGAAACGGGGCTTCCGGGATGTTCCCCGAGAGATCCAGGGAGAGTGTTGGGGACAGTGGAGTCACTATGTTTTGCTCTGACATGCATATAGTTGTTCACATTTCTCATATAATGAGCATTTCTCAGGTGCTTTCTGGATGCATACTCTGTGCCGACAGAACACATCCCAAGACCCCTGCCTGCCGAGCCTACTTTGTTTCTGAGCATCTCTGATACCTACCATCTTCCTTCTTCCTTCCTTCTTCTCCCTCACAGATTCTATTCCACAACTGTAGCCACACTTCCTGGACCTGCTAGTTTGTGTCATGCATCTGTCTCAGCAGCTGGATTTGCTGTCTGGAATTCCTTTACACACCTCCTTCCCAAAACCCTCTCTCCATGAAAATTTACTCTTGTAGCCCCCAGCCCAGAGCAGAGACAATTCCTGTTCTTGAAAACTTTCTCTGGTTGAGTTCTGCCAGTAGAGAGGAAATAACTCCTCTCTTTCCTCCTTCTGTTTTTCATCGATATTTCCAAGCTCTCAAAGACGCTGTTGCTCTTACTTGCTGAACCTCAAGGGAGCAGCCCCACCTTTAGTCCAGCATTGCTCTGATTTCCTGGGAAGTGATCTAGGCCCGAATCTCCATTCCTGGCTTTCTCTCCAGATGCACTGAGTCCCAGGGTTGCAATGCCCTTGTCTAGGTACTCAACAAGTGCCTGCCCATTGTTTTCCAGTTGGCTTTAGTTCAGGACTGGTTATAACCTATTTTTAAACCTATTTTTCATGGAATTATTTTTGAGAAACAAATCTCTAAATAGTTACTGACTTCCTTAATTGAGACATTTGAATTGATAGGTGACAGACTTTCATAGCCTTGTTTTCTCCATTGCTCAGCTGTCCTCACTAGAAACCACTCCCTTCTTGGGACAAACACATAGTGCTTCACCTCAGGAAAGGGTTGCAATTTATTTGTGACTTCGAGTCCTCTCTCTTTTGGAAGGAGTTGGTTTTGATATATGTTTGTGTCTCCTGAACATCACCTAGGGAATGACGCAGAGTTGTTGAGTACTGATTACATTATTTTAATAGTTTTAAGGGTGCACAACTTGGTCTTCCACTGACAGGTGGTTTAAATATGTATTAGATATGTTCCAAAATAATTATCTAAATGTAAGCATTCCCAAGAGATACAATGAGCCCAAAGTCTTCGGTGTCGCTGAGACTAGATGTGACAAACTCTTCATCTAAGAAACAGCAGTATACAAAAGTTTCTCTCTCCAAACTTCCAGAACAATCAAATCTTGGGCAAAATAGTAAGTTTATTTGTTCAACTTTAAGCTTAACTTTCCAATGAAGTTATGAGTAAATATTTTTGATTCAGCCACAATAATATTGTAAGGTATATCTTTTTAACCCTGTTTTTCTTATTTGAAAATAAATGCATATAGGGGTGATACTTATCAGAATCCTGCAGCTTCTCAATCATTGAAGTTAGTTTTCCATCTGATTCAGAAACCAGGTCTCCCCCGATGGGAACATGAACTATGTCATGTTTTCTGGAGGTAAACAGAGCAACTGCATGCCCAGTTAGTTCATACATTTGATTTGCAATCTGGATTTCATGTGAATAAGAGATTCAGCCACTGGAAATGCCATAATTTTGCTTCCTGCTTTCTATTCTCACCCCCATTCTAGGTAATCTGATTTCTCTATTACCAAAAGACACTTTAATTTAACACACAGCAGAAATGTGAAGTTCAGGGAGACTTTTCTCTTTATTTTAGCTGAGTAAGCCTATGGTGTGTTAGTTTCAATGAACTCAATTGAAAAAACAATTGGTTGCTTTCAGAGTGGCTGGCCTCAAAGCATAAAAATAGACCTAACTTAGAAATCTTTCATCACATTTTATTTTAAAATGCTGGGTTTCATTTTCATATCACCAAGGGATAACACATTATCATGAGTAAATCTATGAAATCCCTGAGATCTTTTGAGTTTTGCTTCTCCCTCCTTGAACTACTGGGTTCCTCAAAAGATTGTCTTTTTTCCACTATACTTTAGTCATCAGAACTTAAATTGTGTTAAATACATTGAATAAGCAAATAGGATTTGCCAGTCTTTACAGATAGCAAAATTAACTTCCAAAGACTGAAAGCATTATAATTTTTTCTACAAAATCCATGTAACTGCCATGTAGTTCACATGGGAGAGTTAAGCCGTACTTCCCTGAGAAGGTTGTTCTTTGTCTCTAGGGAACCAAATGTAACTTCATCTTCTACAGAAAGGGCAGTATCTGTATATACGAAGTACTCTTGTATATAGACTATGTATATAGTCTTCTATATACAAGAAGACAAGATGTCCCATGTGGAACAGGGATGATTTTTAGGCACCTCAAAATTTTGAAGATGTCACTACCCAAAAGAGAAGTTGATATAATTGCCCCATATCAGCAGCTGAGATAAGAGGAAGTATGAATAGACGGCATTCGTGGAACCAAAGTGTTGATAACGTATCCTCAGTGATGAAGGTTCATACTTAGAGCACCCCCTGCATTGCAGAGATGTGGTCAATATCCACCAATAGGAGTAGCAAGAAAGACTGAAATATGCTTGGGAAAGCTGAAGCCAAGCCAGGAAATGAATACATTCATATGGCATTTCTCAGAAACTGCCATACACCCAGCCTCAGAGTCATCTTGTTACAAAGTTAGATCTGGGTTCTACTGCAGACCAAATGAATCCAAGTAATCAAGCATGGACTCAGAAATGTGAACAAGCCCCTCAAGTATGTCTTGTGCTCAGTAGAGTCTCAGGTCCACAGCATTCCATGCTCAGGATCGGCAGTCAGAGAAAGAGAAGGTGGAATATCCTAAGAGCACGCAGCACAATCTAAGGATGCCAGATGTGACAGAGGGGGGTCTTCTTGGTTTTTCCCTTTTTAGAGGTTTTACCCATGCAGAGGCTGCCTGGCAGCAGTTGGTGCGGAGTCAGCAGATGAGGACACCACAGAGAGAAGGACCAAGAGGAAAACAATTCTCACAGCAGAAAGGAGAGAAAGCAAGCAATGCCGTGCACCTGCAGCAGGAAGGATGCTGTCTTCTGACTGTGGAGGGACAGAAAGAAATAGCTCAGGGAGGTGGGAAGTCAGGTGGAAGCAGATAGTGGGAGTTAGAAGACCTCTATGTTCTCTGTCAAGTTAGAGGCTACAATCTACAAGAAGAAGAGAAGGTATGGAATGAATGCTCTGCAGAAAGCAAGCTGGTGACAGAAAAATACCAAGATTGCAACCCAGAATTGCAAACCCTGAGCCCAGTGGCCCCAGTGGGCAGAGCACTGTGGCAGCTCTGGAGATTGAGAAAGCTCTGTCCTGGGGACAGTTTCACTAACAGGAGATGAACAAAATGGACAATATGAAACAAAGACAGGTAGTTGGCAGTATATACTTGACACTAATTGAGTGGAACAACCCATAAATATTGAGGGAAGGGTGACAATTACTGTGACAGCCTTTTCTGTTACCCTCGGTTTCTGGGGATCTTGTTGCATATTGAAATTGGACCCTGAGCCAAAGGATGATGTGTGTGAAGGATCCTGATGGGTTAATGCAATTATTCACTGACAGTTTTTCTCACTAGTGTTAAATTTCTCTTTGTTAAATAAAATATATAAGAAAACATTAAATCACAATACTTCTAAAATAATTTAATATTTCTTACAGAATACAAAAACCATTATCAATTCTTTGATGGTATTTACATAAAAATACTATGACTTAAATTACATAGGAAGAAAAATTCTCCTATCTGCCTAGTGTGTCTGATAGCAATTTTGTATGAAAAAGTGAAATACAAACAAATAATATGCTGAATGCAGTAAGCCCTGGTGGACAATTAAGGACAAAAACCAACCACATGTTTAAGGAAGTCCAGGATGAAAAATAACCCTATTACTTTTACATCCATGGTGTGTACCTGATGAGCCAATTTTAATTAAAAACAGACACAATAATATTTTTAAAGAATGAAATGAATTTTCAGTAACTACAAAGTTTACAAAGACCATAGAAATGAATTGAGAAAAAGGGTAATCTATTGTCCAGTAAAATCTTGCCTGTGTTCTTGC